GGGGGGGGGGGGGGGGGGGGGGGGGGGGTGAGGGATACCCACGCACGCGGACTTAAGGGGTCCGTCTCACTTAATTATTTTCTCGTTATGGTCTACCTCGATCGAGTTGAGAAAATTAGCACCACGATCGACAACGACACCCGTGTTAAGTTCATGGAAGCCGCAAACGTTGAGAGCAACTGCTCCTGCCTGCTCGACTCATCCTATGAACGCTGCCGATGAAGTCTTTGGCTGATATTATAACACGGTCATACCAACAGTACAATATGTAGGAAGCAGCAATGGTATACGCAGAATTTCAGTAGGCTTTTGCATCTTGGAGAAAGTGCTGACTCTGCCAGTGGGAATCAGCCCAGGCGCACTCAATATACGGGGTGCTGCATATTAGTTTCCCCCCCCCCCCCCGTGAGCCTGCCATGCATAACATGGATCGACTTCGTTAATGTTGTAAGGAAGGGGGGTATTATGTAATGCTCTTGTATCTTTTCAATTTGATTTTTTAAAAATGACAGGCTGCCTAGGTGACAGTGAACCGTTAGGTCTCAATCATCGAGCTATGGCTGTGTCTTGGTAAATTCCTAAAAACGAGGGCGCAACATTCATCACGAATAGTGGATCGTAAAGTAATTGAGCAGAGATTAAAGTTGAGCGAAACGGAACTGGAACAAGACCTTAATTTATATTCACTCTCGCATTTTGAAGGTGTTAGACCCCCAAAAGCTCTCTCAACGTGTCGCCGGAAGAAATTCGCGAAATTGACTTCTTGGAACATGAACATGCCTTTGAACATGCCTCACCGAATCACAGTGTTTGAGAGCATATGGACTCAAATTGCGAAGAATCGAGCGGAAGAAATGATACATGAAGAACGAAACAATCACTTATCAATCAAGGAAGGTTATGAGAGAAAGAATTGATGGTGTTGAACACCTTAAAAGAAGTTGATTAGTTCCGAAATTCGTCGAAATTTTAGCCAGAAAGAATCAGAACATTTTTTAAGGCGCATGTCGGTAATACAAAGTTCTAATTTTGCACATAATACTGTATTGCTTGGTGATAAGAAATCAAGGGTAAATTTTGCTTTTGGTCAAACTCGCGTAGTGATTGCACGACGATGAAGTTTCGGTCCCAGCCGATGTAGTTAAGACTTGAATCCCCGAACGAGACAGATTGCTCTTGGTGTCGATACGAGTCATACAATAATGCATATACGTTCCAAGAATCGCCCTCTTCCTAAATCGTAAACGCCCATCCGGTTTTGGAATCCGTGAGCCATCGATGCTCGTAACCGCATCGGCCTGCAATTTCAAATATTATAAATCGGACACCTAATGGTTCTCATCTGCATTCGCATTCGCGAGATGCTTCCGCCCTTCGCCGATTCCATTCGATTCTGTCTCGAGTGACACCCTTGCGTTTCTATCTTCCTCGCTAATGAAGTCCTTCTTAACCGGTTTTCGAAGGTTCTGTGTAGAGGTATAAATCAATCCACGTATAAATAATGGCCGTCAGTTCGTGCGATTGCCCAATTTGAATTGCTTAACGCACGATTTCCAAGAAATCCTCGACGACACGGAATGTGATGTTTTTCTTCCTGCAGGTGTTGCAAGGATACATGAATGACCTGCCGGAAGGAGGTCAGAGCGAGGAGAGCCTCATCTCCTCCCTTCTCTCTTGTTCCGGGTTCCTCGATCCCGAGAATGGATGCTTGGAGAGGGTGGCCTGCGAGTATGCCAGTCCGGTCACTCGACTCCCGGAGAAGGACAAGAACGTCATCGCTATGTAAGGAACTGCGTTTCCTTTTCCTTCTGGTAAATTTGCTTAGAGTATGAGGGCTCAGAAGAGTCCTGCGTCGACTTTCATGGTTCTTTTTTTCTGAGAGATGGAAATGATTTGCCGAGCAGACCCAACTATTGATATTTTTCAGGTCTTCTTAAAGTGGAAAACTGAAATCCCTCGGCTTGAAATTTCATTCCTTCGCTTTGTCTTTCGGCTAATCGGCTGTCACAACCGCATAAATGGTCGTAAGATGATCGAAGCAAAATTCAGGACAGGATC